TATCGGGCTGCGGAGTCTATGACGGGACAGAGATCCACGAGGCCTCCGCGTAAGTCCTCAGAACTCGTAAGCACTCGTGGTCTAAACGGGCAGAAAGGGCCAAACCGTGACCGAAGCACAAAGCTGGAATGAGCACCGCCAAGACGTAGAAAGGGGGAAGAGGGCCAGTCTTCTGCAGGCAAGGAGAGCTCGGGGTCACTTCTAGCACGGTGGAGTCCCGGGGCCATTCAGGAAGCCCAACCGAATGCTGAGCCCACTCCTCAGTGTGCTTGGCCAAGGAGTGCATCCTGAGTGTGCTGGACTCAGGTCACGGAGCACAAGCTGAAAACACTGAAGTGATGGACAGGAGGGATTCTGGGCTTGCTCAGCGGGAACAACAAAGTTTTAGCCAAAAATTTGCTTCCCTTCGTGGCTAACGGAAGCTGCTGCTTTTCATTTTTATGTGTGTGAGTGTGTTGCCTGCATGTAGGTAAGCGCACCCGTCTCGTGCATTGCCCGAGGAGGACAGAAGAAGGCATCGGGATCCCCTGGAACTGGAGTTAGGACGGTTGTCAGCTGCCATGTGGGTGCTGGGAATCGAACCCTGGTCCTCTGTAAGAGCAGCCAGTGCTCTTAACCGCTGAGTCATCTCTCCAGCCCCAAAAGCTGTTTCTTAGATAACTATTGAACACAATTTACAAACCAGTCATGCTTATCTTCAATAGGCATCTGTTCTTGGGAATTATTCCCCCTACACTACACACACACACACACACACACACAGGGTTCTCAGCATTAACACTCACGTATTCTGGAGTATAGATGGGTTTGTTCTTTCTCTTTTGTGGGAGAGATGTCAGCAGGCCAGTAAACTATCAGTCTACCTATGGTGGGTCACCCTTCACCCTGTTCAGGCAAATTAAAGTGGGGGGGAGGTGATTGACCAGGGTCAACTTACAGAGGAGCCGAAGACACTGCCTGTGTGTGCCTGGAGGTTGCACACATAGTCCCTCCCGGTGACTAACCTGGTGGACACAAAGAGCCAGGGGTGAAAGCTGGCGAGATAATGAAAATAGCCAGGGAGTGGAGACCATCGGAATGGCCTATGCCAGCCCTTCAGCCCCTGTACTTTAGCCTGGACAGCGGGGGCCAGCCTAACTGCTCTGCACCATGACTTTGAGCTAGTTTGTGTCCTTTGTGTCTCTGGCACTCTCTGTAAGGAATAGTAACAGCTTGTCTATGCAGGTTAGTGACCTTGTGTGTTGTCATTTGGAGCCATGGCTGGCACAGGGAACACTGATTCTGTGTTCTTGCTGGGGCTACATATCTCTACATCTTCCCTCCACATAGACCAGGGAGCTGAGAGAGGATCTGAGGCCCCTCTGGGTGTGTATACACACTGCTGTGCCCTTAGGTGTGTGTGAGTGGCTGACAGGAGTGTCACATGGGTCCTGGTTGAAGGCAGAGCAGCCTGGGGCTCTGAACATACCCAGAACATGATGTGTGGAGTCATGGTCCCCCTGCACACCGGTCAGTGAAGGGAACTGTAGGGACCACTTGATGCACCTGCCTGCGTGCTCTGATTGCACCCTTGTCTTCCAGAGGTCTGTGATGTGAAGCGGTGGGTATTGGTTAGAGTCAGCTATGGCTTTGTGAACCAACAGGATGTCACAGACACAAGGAATTCACCTGATGCTTAGCAAAAGTCTGCTTGTAAAACCTTGGGAAGTGAGGTCTTGGTGTTTTTTTCCCACGCAGGGTCCTGGTGCACTTGAGCCGTGGTGGGGCCGAGGTCCAAATCTTCGCCCCTGATGTCCCCCAGTTGCATGTGATTGACCACACCAAGGGGCAGCCTTCCGAGAGCGAAAGCAGGTACGGGCAGGGGAGGGACCTTACAGGAGCCCAGCCCCCAAGTACAGCTGCCACAGTGCAGGCTTCCTGGCCATGCAATTGAGCATGGGTCCCTCACAGCAGCTGTCTTCAGGCTGTCCTGGAGGCCTGTCATCCCTGTACCATCACAGGAGCTACATAGACACTTCCTTCCTGTGGCTGTGAGGTGGTGCCATACCCTGCTCGCGGTGGTCACTGTGTGGCACTCTTCCCTTTAAGCTAATAGCAGCTGCATTTCTTTTCTGAGGCCCTGGTTGCAGGGTGGCTCTGAAGGGTGTGTTCCTGGAACCGAGATTGGAAGGGTGGAGAGAGGAACCACAGTTCTAACCCCAAGGTCTTGCTTGTTGTGACCCACACTATTTCCTTCTCTGCCCAGGCCCATGATCTCCTCCTGGGTCCATAAGCCAGGCTAAGGGGGCAGTAGCTTCCTACTCTGTCTGATGTTTAGGTGGCTTTAGGCATCCTGAGAAATGGCTCCCTAGACACCCCTCCCTCCCCACCTTCCTGGTGGGAAGCATTGGATTCTACCTGTGTGGATGCTTAGAGAACCGCCAGTTCCTAGTGGCCCCTGATTCCAAGTGACCTGGTGACCGTCCTAGGGCCAACACACAGGACTCAGTGGAGTTACAGGGTCGCTAGAATCCTTTTACCATCTCCAGACGGTGAACCTAGGAAGCATTAAGTCTTCACATGGGCGTGTGCTCCCTTTGGAGTGTGAGCTGTGTATAGGACACGTCCCTGTGGTGTCTGTGTCCTGGCTCTGTTTGCACACTGATGCTTTGTGTTGCTTGTGCTTTTTCAGGAATGTTTTGGCAGAGTCTGCACGGATTGCCCGAGGCAAGATCACCAACCTGGCTCAGCTCAGTGCAGTAAACCACGATGCTGCCATTTTCCCAGGAGGTTTTGGAGCTGCCAAAAACCTGTGCGTGTTCAAGTGTCAGGGTTTAGAGCATGCGTGTCAGGTCTTGTAACAGAGCCACAGAGGGGTAGGCTGTGGCCCTTTAGCAAGGGTCTTCTCTGCTTCCTCCTCAGCTCTCCGGGTGCCTGACAGCTGTCAGGGTGGGTTGGAGCCATCTTAGCTGATCTCTGCTGGGCGTCTGGTCCCAGAACACTCTCCCTGTTTGTTCCCTGCAGTGCCAGTACTTGTGCAGAGTCTGCAATGTGAGATGCTGCTGTCCCCCTTGGGCTGTTTGCATGGCAGCAGGAATGAGGGGGGCCCTTTCTCGCGCTGCTATTTGAGCTGAAGTGGCACTCTGAGTTGGGGTCCTTTCCACAGTTCCTGTAGTCCATGTTATCGTGTCCCATCCTGTTCCCCCTGTCTCCAATTCATAGGAGTCCTGGTGCTGGCCTCATCATGGCCATGCCTGGGTTGTGGACACATGGCTGATTGTTGGGGAGCCTTGAATAGGCCTCTGCAGTGTCCTGGGCCCAGAAGTGAGGGACATAGGGCTTCACACTCTGAGGTGTTGCTGATTCTACTTCCTTATCTGATCCCCCGACACCTCTGCTGTGGGCATCAGTGCCCCTTTCTCCAGTTCTGCCCACCTCCCAGCCCCTTAGCAGCACCTGCATCTCTCCTTGTGGAAGCCCCACATCTCCCTATCCTGAAAACAGTGAGCCAGGCAGTGCTGAGGCCCACAGTGCAAACCCTTGTTCTGTCCTCTCGAGGGCACAGCAGGGCTCAGGCATCACTGGGTTTTCCCTTCCTTCAGGGTCACTGCTGCCTGGTGGAAGATTGGCTAGGAGCCGCATCTGCTGGCACGGCTGGTCTGTTTTACCCAGTTAGGAGTGTGGACTCAGAGATCAGAACTCAGGTTCTTGGTGGTGGAGAGTCTCCACGGCTTTCGAGGAGTCTGTGGGCCTTAGCCTCTATATGTGTGTCTGAGCCCACCAGCCCTGTCACCAAGCTGCTGTCTTCATTCTTTCTGACCTTTAGAAAAATGGCAGGCCCTCCACAAACAGGCTCCTGCTGAGCCAGTGAGACCGCCTACCAGGCTGGGGGTTGCCACTGCAATTGTTGAGGCTTAGCGTGTGCAAGACTGTGAGAAAAGTGCACGTGCAGCAGGGTTGTTGAGTGGTGCCAGGCTCACAGTGGGGATCCAGTTTCTGGTACACTTGTGACCCCAGACCCTTTCTAGGCACTGCCATCTTTGTCCTCCAGAGAGGCCCTCAGCATCTGGGCACGACGTAGTGTTCAAACTTGTTAAGCCCTCATTCTTGCTCTGCCTGATGTGCTTGTCTGTGGTTTCCAGCCGGGCTGAGCCTGTTAAACAGACTCCACATGGTGGCTATACTGTGGCTCATGTAACTACCCCCCCCCCCCCCCCCCGCCACTGGCTCCTAGTCCCGCCCTCCACTGGCTCAGATGGCTTCCTGTAGCCTTGGTTGTTTTTAACAGCATTCTGAAGGTGTAGTTGGGGTGTGTGTGTATCTGTTTATGTCTGTCTGTCTATGTCTTGTGTGTTTTTAAAGGGTGGCATTTGGTGAGTTTGGCTGTGGAAGCACCCTCTCACACAGTCACCATACAATGGTGAGCCTGGTGCTCACCACACGGTCTCCAGACTTCTAGCTGCTGAGCAGCCCATGGTCATCACACACCGGGGAAGGCAGGAGCTTGTTCACGTCACTGTCATTGTCTGTGAAGTGCTGCTGTTTTTGTTTTCTGGAACTCTCCTTTACAGGGTTTCTTGTTGCCCCCGAACTCTGAAGGCAGGGTAGTCAGTCGTAGGCTGGCCCTGCTATGGTGCCCTCCCTGCCCAGCCTACTCTCGTCTTCCACCCCATGGCTGTCTGATGAACAGGAAGGTCATAGCTAGGCAGTGCCATGGAGGGCTGTCCTCGGCATGCGGCCACACTGGGCAGCTCCTCTAGTAGCTAGCCGGTCCGCAGAGCTCCGCGGCAGCACTGCTGAGGAAACCCTTCCCTCTCTTGGCAGGAGCACATTCGCTGTGGACGGGAAGGACTGCAAGGTGAATAAGGAGGTGGAGCGTGTCCTGAAGGAGTTCCACGGAGCTGGGAAGCCCATTGGGTAGGTACGGCTTGGGTCTGGAGGATGACAGGAGGATGTGAGGGAAGACCCTGTTAGGACTTGGTGAAGCAGCTCCTCCTGCTCAGGACCACTCACTGTTGGTGGAGAGTGGTGATGTGGAACAGGCACGGTGGTTTCAGAGAAGGCATGGTGGCCCTGGGTAGAGCCAGCCTCAATGAGCCTAGTACACGGTGCAGGGGCCGGACACAGCTGCCTGTGTGTCCTGTGCTTCGGGGCAGCTGGTGAGCGCTGTCTAGCTGCGCTCCCTTTGAGGGTCACCAAACAAGTCAGATGTCAGGCAAGGCTGCCGGAATGAACACTGTGTCCCTGAACCTGTTGTGCTCCCATCCAGAGAGGGGATTGGACTGGACTGACAAGCACAGCTCTGTTATAGACCTCAGAACAGCTGGGCCACTGCCTGCGTCTCTGACCTGCTTTGTGAGGTGGCTCTTGTACCTGGGCACTCTGTTAGTAGGTAGCCCGATGGCAGTCGGGAGAAGTTGGCTCTCCTGGGCCCCTCGGCTCCCCTCATGGCCAGCTCTCCCCAGGGCTGCCCAAGTCCTGATGCCTGAGCACCCACTGCACAGACAAGGGCAGCCTAGGCTCCCGGGCCCGGGCAGACCCCTGCTTTGCTCTCTGGGACTGGCTTCTGTTCTCAGCTCTAATGAGCACTGTGCTGATGAGCTTCTTTCACCTTCCAGCCTGTGCTGCATTGCACCTGTCCTTGCAGCCAAAGTGATCAAAGGGGTCGAGGTCACCGTGGGCCATGAGCAAGAGGAGGGTGGCAAGTGGCCTTTTGCTGGGACCGCAGAAGCCATCAAAGCCCTGGGCGCCAAGCACTGTGTGAAGGGTGTGACCATATCCTTTCTGCGGCTGGGTCAGTGTGGTTGCATGTGGCACATTGTGTGGCTGGGTCAGTGTGGTGGCATGTGGCACACTGTGTGGCTGGGTCAGTGTGGTGGCATGTGGCACATTAGGTACCAGTTTTGGCCTTTTGGGGCACCCCTGACTGGCAGCCTTCTAGCAGGAATTGCACTTCCTGGTCTTGCTGCAGGGGATCCTCTGGGCAGGAGGACGGGGCTGACCAGTGCCATGGAGTGCAGCTGGCATGTGTGGTGTGCCACAGGCAGAAGACTGGCCCCACACTTGGCCATTGAGAAGTCTATTTCTGCGCCTATTGAGACCACTTAGCAAGTGTTCCTGAGTCCCCGGTCTGGAGTGCATAGCTGGGTTGCCTGGTCCCTGAAGGAGCAGGTGGCCTGTGGGGAGGGCTAGTAGCTGCTTGCCAGTGATCACGGAAGGGGACAAGGCCAGTGTGGGGTACATGGGCGAGATTGTGGGTTTCTTGAGTGGGCCACCTCAGATTCCTGGGCTGGAGTGGCAGGGGCTTCTCAGGGGTGAGTTTCGCTCCCCATGCAGGGCCAGTGTTGGGGCTGTCATGAGGCATGGCTCCGTCCCTCAGGACTTCAGGTTTTCTTTTTCCTCGAGTGCCTGTGAGCTGGAAGCGAGTTCCCTCTTGTTTAATTGGTGACACAGTCAGCCAGGCGTGGTGGTGCACACTTTTAATCCCAGCATTTGGGAGGCAGAGGCAGGTGGATCTGAGTTTGAGGACAGCCTGGTCTACGTAGTGAGTTCCAGGACAGCTGGGGCTACAGGGAACCCTGTCTCAAAAGACCCAAAAAAAAAACAAAAAAAAAACAATCACACAGCAGATGCAAACGTGCTGGAGTGGAGTCGGTGTGTAGCCAAGGACCTGAGGGTCTGAGGGTGCCTGAGGCGTCCCCCCTAATTCTCTTTGGCCTTTTGGTGGTGATTTTTCCCTAACATCTTGTGCACGAAGCTCATGTGGACCAGAAGAACAAGGTGGTCACAACCCCAGCCTTCATGTGTGAGACTGCGCTCCACCATATCCACGATGGGATCGGGGCCATGGTGAAGAAGGTGCTGGAACTCACGGGAAAGTAACGCTGCTCGGGCCTGTCTGCCCTGGACTTGTCTCCTGTTAGATGTGTGGGGCTTTCTACCTGAAGAACGAGGTCAGTCTGCTGCATCCTGGGCTTGTCCCAGCCCCTTCCACCAGCCGGAGAGCATAGCCCCTGCTTAGGCCCCGAGGAACAGTGGAGTCTGACTTTATTCTGTGCTCCCATAATGGAAGGAGGCCTGAGCCAGCTTTTCCAGAGAATTTGGTAGAAATACTTAGGTTCTAAAATCCTAGGTCTGATGGGTCAGGATACTTGTTTTTTTTTTTTCCTTTTTTTTTTTTTTTTTTTTTCTGTCTTTTTGAGACAGGATCTCTCTGTAGCTCTAGCTGTCCTGGAACTAACTATGTAGACCAGGCTGACCTTGAACTCACAGAGATCCGCCTGCCTCTGCCTCCCAAGTGCTGGGATTAAAGGCATGCACCACTACGCCCGGCTGATGCTTAGATTTTTAAAGAAAAAATATTTCAGGTTACAAGTCTGATAATCAGAGGCACCTTGTTTATGGGTAAAGTTCTCTGATCTGAAGTAAATACCAGTGAACCAAAGCCAGGGAATTTCTGTAACAGGCAGTCCCTTTAACCACAGAATAAACTCCTTTCCACATTGGACACTTCTGTCAGCCGTGCCTCCGGCCTTCTGAAACTGGTGAGTGGGTGTGATGTGAGGTTCTTAAGTGAGTCTCAGTTCTCAGAGGAAAAAGGAGAACTCACCAGTGCTTGGCCTCTGTACAGGCCTGCTGATTGGACTGGAAAGTTCATCCCAGGCTGTGAGATTGTGTGGTTTTGGGGGAGAAGGAGAAATAAAGGATGGTGGTGTCCTGGTGGTCTCTTTACAATTTTGGCCTTAGGGAAGGGTCAGAAGACTGATCTGACTGGGGTCTGAGCACAGTTCATTCCAGAATGTTCCTTTCTGGAGGGTCCTCTGGCCTTGGTGGCAGTGGCTGCAGCACTGGGCTATAAGAAAGCTGCCCTTACGCCCAATTCTATCAGCTGCTGGCCAGAACTGAGTTTAGGCTGCATGAGGAAGCATGGAGCCTTGATGGCAGGGAGTCTGCCATCTCCTAGCCATCCCTACTGCCACAAGAGAGAAACAGCCTACGGGGCCATCAGGAGAGTGGCCCCTGTCTCCACCCTCGTTCCTCCACATGGTGATCTGTCCCACCACAGTGGGGCCTCTAGGCCTCTTATGGAGCTTGCCTTGCCCACAGTACCTGTTGTATTGGCCATGTACTCCCATCTGAGGCAGCTGAAGAGCCTGCCTTGCCCACAGTACCTGTCGTATTGGCCATGTACTCCCATCTGAGGCAGCTGAAGAGCCCGCCCTGCGCCCTGCTGGCGGAAATGGGGAGGTCGAGGCTGGGACCGCCTTCCCCAGTCCTTGGGAGTGTGTGCGTACAACTTCAGTGAGTGCAGGGTGAGATCCCAGAGCCAGCGCTCACGTCACGTCACCATTCCCCAAAGCCCCTGCTTCCTGCCTGTCCCGTCCACAGAGTGACAGCTCCTGCCTTGTGCCAGGTGCATGGCGCTGCAGTGCCAATGGCAGAGCCTTCCTCCACCTCCCTCCTGGTTTTGGTCCAGCCTCCTGTGGATGAGTCGGTCCTGCTGTCTCTCTTGCTGAGTGGCCCCTTCCTTGGGCTTCACTAGTGGTGCAGGCAGTGACAGGCACCCTTGGGGTCTCCTGTGGTCCCACAGTCCACGCTTGACTGGGCTGCTAGCTGTTCTTCCAGTAGCCTGTGTCCAGCGTGCCCTCCCCCGTTAATTCTCCCACCGACGGTGTGTGGACGCATCGTGAGACGTTCCCCAGCACTTGAGCTGTCAGGCTCTTCAGCTAGTGGTGTGGATTGTCTCCTGCGGTGTCTGTTGGCATGCCTGTTTGCTAACGCTGGTCACCTCTGTCCACTCTGGTCTCCAGGGCAACCCTTTGGCAAAGCATCTGTTGACATCACTGGCCCAGTTGTCCATATTTTTCTGGGTGGAGATGTGCAGTCTAGGTGCAGGTACCCCATTGGGTGAGCTTCCATGGGGTCCTATGTTCTACCTACTTAGGTCAGGTGTCAGGTGGTCAGGAGTATCCCTGGTTGCTGCTGCTAAGGAAACCATCCATCATAAAGCCATGTCCTGTTCCCTTCACACACAGACCAGCTCAGCCACTTGGTGGGCTCTTGGGTTCTGGAAGGTGCCAGCCAAGCAGAGCAGAGTACGATGGCCTGTGAGTGCTCACCACGGGGTGATGGTGCCCACTCCAGGGCCTGCCGCATGGTGTGTGTGCTTAGATGCAAGTGGAAGGTGTGTGAAGGTGGACTGGACACTCAGGAGTGACCTTCTGAATTCCTCCTGCTGCTATACACCACCGGCAGCTGAGAGGGACAGTCTGCACACCTGCAGTGGGGCTCCCTATGCGTGCCCTCTGGGTCACACCAGCTTAGCCCAGGTCCCCTGGAGGTTGGCCTGAAACATCCCAACCCCACAGGCTGAGGCTGTGCTTGACAGGCCTGTGATGTGCTTGGCTGCTAAGGCCGGGTGGGACCACATTGGACTGTCCTCTAGAGGGCCTTGTGGAAAGCCTGAAGCCGTGAGGTTCACTTTTCATCCCTAGCAATGATTGAGCCCTTGCTGCATGCTAGGCACCATCCTGAACGTGACCCATGTCCTATTGGAGCTTGGGCAGACTGGTCATCGGATAGCCTGGGTGTAGGTGGACACACGAAGTTGGGAATGAAGGGAGCAGAGCTAGGTATGGGCAAAGTGGTCGGGAAAAGGGTTAGCAGCTGGCTGAGAAAGGAGGCGGCCGGAGGGGTGGGAGGGTGTGCTCCTAAGGGCCAGATAGCTGGAGCACTCACTGGTCTGTCCTAGACAGCAACCCAAATCTGCAGTCCTGGAGCAAGGCTGTGGTTTTAGGCACCACCACAAGGGGGCGCGGAAGACCAGTCTGGGGCCTTATGCAAGCTCCCCTGGCTGGCCAAGGCTAGGATCCCTGCTGAGCCTGCCTGCATCCACAGAACCTTCGTGAGACCGCTCAGGCTCTGCCTTCCTGGTCTACTTCACAGGGACCTCCAAGTCCCCAGGCTCCAGGCTGTAGACATGCTGGATTCCCAGGTGCTCATGCCCCAGGTGTTCCCCTGGTCCTCACCCCAATTGCCAGCCTCCCTGAGGAGATCTACCTGGCCTCTGGGCCATCCTGAGCACCTCCCTCCCAGGAGCTCTTCCCAGCAGATCCTCTGCTGCTGTCCTTCCTTGAGCCTCCGCTCCACTCCCACTTGGCACCAGACTTGGAGCAGGATGCCCAGCTTTGCTCATCAAAGCTGCAGCCCCCCTCCATCTGGGGACCACAGCGCACTTGCTCTCCACCAGAACCTACTCCCAAACACCCTATTCCTCTCAACTTTGAGCTAGGGTACCCTACCCTTTTATCCAAATAGGTCACGCCAAGAGTCTTATGACTCCCTCTCATGTCACCTCCTGTCCCCTCCAGTCCCCCTTTCTGTATTACCAGTCCTCAGCTCCATGTCACTGCAGAGAGGATTTCTCTGTGCCCTCTGGCCATGCAGGCACCCCATTGCCTGTGGCTGCCTCAGAGCTCAGGTCTGTGACCCTGTCCTCGCCCCTCCCTCTTCCTTGAGGCTGCTGTCACTGCAGCCTTTTCTGACTGGCTTCTTTGACTCCAGTGCAGCTAAGCTTTTTCATGGGTATTCTTGGCTGTTTATTTCTTCTTAGCTATGAATACAATTCCACTGTCTGGGGCTAGAGGGATGGTTCAGTGGTTAAGAGCACTGCTCTTGCAGAAGACCATGTTAGGCAGTTCACAACTGCCTGTAACTCCAGCTCCAGGGGGTCCAACACCCTCTTCTGGCCTCTGCAGGCACCCGCACTTGTCCACATACCCACGTACAGACACATGCACACATACACATGATCTAAAAATAATTCTTTTTAAAAATTCCACTGCCCAGATATAATACCATTTACCTGTTCATCTGCAAAAGACACCTGTTGTTCCCAGACTTTGGGGATTGAGATGAATATACCCTAAACCTGCTGTGGACATCTGTATGCAGGTTTGGGGGATGTGAGTTTATAGCTCCTTTGGGTTGGTACCATGGAACACAGTGGTCTGGGTTTGGGCTAGTCCAAGTGCATGGTGGTGTCTCACCTTGGTGTGCAATCCCCTCTAATGACATGTCTATATAGAAGGAGCTTATTTGCCGTCCGTGTGTCTTTGGTGTCTGTTGAATTTGTTTCCCATTTTTAATTGGTCATTTTCTTTTCTTTTCTTTTTTTTTTTTTTTGAGTTTTTAGAGCTCTTTACTCAGTCTTGACAGTCCTTTGGGAGAGACCTCTTAGGTTTCCCCGTTCTGTCTTTTGACAGGGCAGAAGTGTTTCATTGCAGTCACTCCAGCTACCTGGGATTTCTTTCATGGATCATGTTTTAGGACATGGCTCAGTTGGGAGAGTGCTTGCCTAGCATGCTCAGAGCCCTGGGTTTGTTCCCCAGCAAACATACACTGGGTGTGCCGTGCGTGGGTGTGTGCCTGTAATCCCAGCACTTGGAAAGTGTAATCTGAAGTTCAGGGTCATCAGCTACAGAGCAAGTTGGAGGCCAATCCAGACTCGCTGAGACCCTATCTCAAGAAAAAAAGAAAGAAAAAGAGAAATATAGATTTCCTCCTGAGATCATCTGGGGCTTTCCACCTTTTGCATTTTACATTTAGGTTTGTGATTAATCTTGAATTATTTTTGTGAAAGCTGCAAGGTCTGTGTCTTGATTTCTTTTGGCATGTGGATATCCAGTTCCAACATGGAAATGCTTGCTTAGCCCTGGTACGTCGCCCTGCCCCATGGCTCAGGTCTGCCGACTGCATTGGTGAGGATCTGATCGGCGCTCCACTGGCTCTGCTGTGGCTGTTTGTGCTGTTGCCAGCACCTCCGCCACCTTTTCCTCGTCAGCCTCACAGGGCATCTGGAAGTGGGTCGTGTGACTCCTCCCTCCTCCTTAACGCTGTGCCCGCTCCAGAATTTGCCTCAATATTTAGACCAGCAAACCAGTTTCCTGATCTGTGAAATGACCTGCTGGAGTTGTGACTGGGATGGTGTTGAGTGCACAGATGAGTTTGCAGACCCCACCTTGTCAGTGCTGCCCTTCCTGCACTGGATCTTCTTTTTGATTTTTTTTTTAAATCAGAGTTGTGTAGTTTTTTCACGGATCTTGTGCATATTTCGTTAGATTTATACCTAAGCATTTCATTTGGGGTGGGGGGTGTCCTAGTAGAAATGTTGCTGTACCTTTTATTTCAAATTCCAGCT